CTTGGTTAAGGACATCAAATTTGCATACAAATTCTAGCTCAGCAGTTCCTCTCTGCAGTGTGTTTTTGAAGTTTTTCTAACTGAGAATTGCAACTTGCAAGTCTGAAACTGTGTCCATGGAGGTTATAAGCTTCCCCAGTAGATTTTGGATGTTGCCATTCTGAATGCTTGGTGTGCATTTTTTTTTTTTTTTTTGGTATAGACAGTTCCGTTTGTCTAATGTGTGTGGCAGAGGGGCATTGTTGGCACATGATGGCATATGTTGCATTACTCGATATTCATGTGAATGAGCCTTTGATGGTATAGTTGATGTGGTTAGGTCCTGTAATGGTTTTACTAGAGTAGATGTGTGGACAGAGTCGGCAACAGGATTTATTCCTGGATAGGTTCCTGGAATCGTGTTTCTGTTGAGGGGTATAAAGTTGGTGAGTATTTGTCTGAGATTGGAGAGGTTTTAAGGACTATCTATGCTGGGGTGGTAGATGTTCTAAAACAATCATTTATCGTTGACCATGTAGACTATTTTTTTAATAAACTGGACTCCAGGAGGGGTGATACTGAGGCATGGAAGCTTGTGTAGTGTTGGGGAATCTGCAGGAGGGGAACAGAGGCTGGCATGCCAGTTCTGCTATTAGAGGATGCTCCAGATGGGGCTGACTCCACAATAAGCATGACCATCTATATTAGCCTCTCCGACGTTCTCCACGAGGAGGGAATAGGTGGCAGGGTTTTAATGTACTGCTAGCCTTTTACTCCTGTACACTTGAAGTCAAATCTTGATGTCAGTCACATGTTGATATGGCACTGGTGATTTGTAAAACCAAGAACATATTTGTAATTCATAGAGGTTATTTTCTCTTGGATAGTCCCCCATTCTTACTCTGTGGAGTGTATGGTTGGCTTAGCAGGTGTAGGCACCAGTGATGAATTCTAGTTTCTGTTACTAGTCTTCCCATATCAAGGGTTTAAGTTTTTCAAATAACTTTATGCTGTAAATAATGAAAATGGTTTTCTTCATCTTAGTGGTTGCTGATCTGAAGATATTATTGGGGGAGGATGAGCCTCTGATGACTTTACACTTAACTCTATGATCTCACTGAACACACTGGACTTTATACAGAGAAATTGCTAGTTTTAGAAGGGACGGTACAATAGTGTTTAAAATAGGGAGGTAAGCAACTAGTTGGGTCGACTACTCGCATTTGTGCCCCCCTGTTGCCTCTGTATCACAGGTAGCATCCTCTGTTCGTGGCAAGCGCCAGTCGCCGCAGACGGGGGCTGCTTTGTGAGTCAGAGCCCTCTGTGAACAGGGCTGTTGGACCCAGAGCAAGCTGGGACTGAGCAAGTCTGGCTCAGTCCTGGCTCTTGATGGATCTGGGACTACCCCTACTGTAGCTCCTGGCTATTACTACATTTGAAATGCAGATTCTCAGTGGTCCTGGACCCGGTGTGAGCTGGGACTGAGCCAGGCTTGCTCAGTCCCAGTTCATGCTGGGTCTGGGACTTACCCCTGATGCATTTAAAATGCAGAGGTGTAGCAGGGTAAGGTCCCGGACCTAGCGCAAGTTGGGACTGAGCAGTCCCAGTTGGTGCTGGTTCCAGGACTGCGGCGACTCCTCATTTTAAATGTAGTAAGAGCTGCTCGGCTTTTACTACATTTAAAATGCAGAGCTGCAGCGGGGGTAGTTCCTGCTCCCAGTCCTGGCTCCGGCTTGCACCTGGTCTGGGATCGCAGTGACTCTGCATTTTAAATGTTGTAAAAGCCGCCTGGCTAGTAATGATACAGAATTCAACAAAATGTGGCAGAACAGAGAGGTCTATGCTGTGGGTGAGTCATTTAAAATGGGAGCATCATTTCTGGAATACTAGTGGTTTTAAGTTGTTAGTCTCTGGCAGTTCCCCACTTTTATCAGCCTTGACTTCATATTTGCTTCAGGCAGAATTGGTGAGATGGCTTGCGGGACTGGGCCTCACGTAGGAAAAGAACAAGCCTGTCTTCCTTGAAAAGTTAATGTGAAGTATTAGAATTGGTTCTAGTTGATTGGCTTCTGTTTGTTGACTGAAAATGATGGAAAAGTTAGAGGAGAGAAGGCAGTAACAGGGATAACAAACTCTAGGATGGGGGAAGGAACTATGTAATATTCTTTGAAGCTAAAAGTGTGGGAATTTTTCCTGAGGAAAGGGATCAGAAGTTTATACTGATGTGATTTGTAGTGCCATTCAACAGGTGTCCCTGAAAACAGTCGTCATGATCTGCGGCAATATTTCGTGGTTGATGAGACTTTGCAATTTGTTATTTAGACTCATATATTAACATTCAGTTTATTGAACATTTTGTAGGCACTTTTCTTGGTCTGGGCAGAAGATTGTATAGATTGTGCTGCGTTATGACATTCTCTTTCTTCACTTAGTAGGCATATATAATACTTCCTACCCTGAGTAGTCTCACTGAAGCAGGTGAATCTAGCAAGAAACACTGTGATCAGTAGTATGGGCATGTCTCAACTAGGAAATAGGTTGTGTTTCAAAAAAGTGTTGGTTAATATTAATTATAGGTAGGAGGCAATGAGTCAAAATTGCATGTAACCTACCTCCCCCCTGCCTTCAGGCATTTTCTTTGACTAGGCCATTTTATAAAATTAAAAAATATTCAAATATTGGAAGATATCCAGAGTAATTTTAACTGAAATTAAGTTGAAGCTAATATGCTGCTATGAGTTTTTTTGATACTTTGTTTTGTCATGAGTAAGGGCAGACAGAGGCTGTGGTGGCATCCCACAAAGCAGCCTCTGTCCGTGGCAAGTCTGGGCCTTTCTCACTCAGAGGCTTCTTCTCGGAAGTAGCCCATGTCTGCAGGGGCCCTGTGGAAAGAGGCTGTGCTGGCATCCGGGCTGCTCCTCTCTCCCCCATGCTGCTGCTGCTGCAGAGATAGCAGTGCGGGAGGGGGGCAGGAGGCTCTATGGGGGGGCTGGCTCCACCTGAGCACTGACTTCCACCTGCCTCCCCACCTCTGTGGGAGGCAGCAAGGAGGGGCAGGAGGCTCCGCAGAGCCAGCATGTGCAGAGAGCGGCTTAAAAGCCGGCTCCCCATGCATATCAGCTTACTGGTTCTGGTTAATTAGTAGGGGCTGAAGCAGCTCCCCATGCACTCTGGGCCTACTGCAGCCCCCGTCTGTGGTGGGCCTGACCTGGTCCCTGTGCTGCAGGTTACATGCTGTGGTTCCTTGGGAGCAGGGCTGGCAGAGCTCAGAGCAAAGCCTCCTTCTTGGAAGCAGACTGGCAGGGGCTGGTGGCCCTGCTCCCAAGGAGGCTTATCTGTGGGCTCTGCAATATAAAGTAGGGATGTAATAGTATAACTGGCTAAGCCTGGACTTATCAGTTACCTTTAACTGTTATATGGCAGGCATCAGAGCCAATAGTGCGGGTTGGCAGCCGGCTTCCTGGGAGCGGGGCCAGGAGCCAGCTCCAAAGCAGGGCAACAGTGCGGGAGGAACAGGCTGCTTCCCGGCAGTAGGGAGTCAGGTGGGAGTCACTGCATGCAGGGAGCCGGCTTAGTCAACTTCCGGGGAGCTGGCTGTCGCTCTGCGCTGCAGGCTCTGCATTATAAAACTTGTACTACAGAGCCTGCAGTGCAGCTGGCTCCTCAGGAGTGGGGCCAGCCTGCTTTGCTCCTGGGGAGCCGGTTGTGATGCAGACTCCGCAGTATAAGCTTTATCCTGCAGAGCTTGCAGCATGTAACTGTGTAAACTTTGAGATTTTCAATGACTACACGGTTACCTAATCAATTGCTTTTTAGCATCCCTAGTATAAAGCTAAACTTTATACTGCAGAGCCTGCAGTGCATGTAATTGTGTAACTGCTAAGTGTGTTTAAAAAAAACAGTTACACATTTATATTTTTAAATGATTTTTCACATCCTTAGTTCAGATGCTGGTGAACAGACATGTACAATTGTGGTCTGAAAATTCCGTTGATGATCTTTGTGTAGTGGACATATTGTTCCTGACTGGTTTTCTGGAGAAATCTTATTACTATGAGCATGCCATGTAAATATTAAATACATTCTGATGAATAGAGAAAGCTCTTAAAATCAGGAATCTTATTCTGTGCTGAGTCAGTATTTCCTCACTTTTTTTCAGTGGTGACCTGATATATGTATTTGTGCTGCTTCGTATATATTATAGTTTGAAAAAATCTTGATGCTTTGGGAGGAAAATTAAAGTATAGTCACTGTCAAATCAGATTTGGTCCCATATGTAAGTTTTACAAAATGTAAGACCAACAGAAATGGTTCCACAAATTCGAAACACAAAATTGAAATAAATTGGAAATATGGATTTTCATTGTTACTAGTTGAGTCGTCGATGGAATTTCTATTGACTACTCACTAGACGACGATAGGCACTTCCGCATTCCTCCTTTTGAAATTTGCTTATCCGATAGTCGACTAGTCCTTAACATCCTTAATTTTCATCACATCTGAAAATCTGACCCTGATACTTCAAACATGTGTATGGATTCCATTCCTATGTTTTGTGATATTGAATCATAAACCTTTGAGGTTTAGTCAAACCTTTTCCTGTGTTCCATCATATGCTTCCTCTCTCCCCCCCCCCCTCCAGTTTTAAAGCATGTATCGATCTTTTATCTATGTATTCTAGGACCCCACAGACTTTGAGTGGACCTTCTGGATGGAATGGGGAAAGGAACGTATAATATGGCTTCTGCTTGGTCATCTAATGGTGTCTCAGATGTCAAGGCTGTTTATGGAAAAGGTAAGAATGCATGTGTTTTGCAGGAGTTCTCCTTATTTTTAATTAACTGTGAAACCTGGAAAATAGAACACTTATATTACAAATTGCTATAATGTATAATGAAAAATTACGACATTATATCTTAGAGGTGTAATTATTAAGGGTCCAGTTTTACCACCTTTACTCAAATACCTATCTTATAAAGCTGGAAGGGGCCTTGAGATGTCATCGAGTCCAGTCCCCTGCCTTCACAGCAGGACCAAGTACCATCCCTGACAGATTTGCCCCAGATCCCTAAATGGCCCTCTCAAAGATTGAACTCACAACCCTGGGTTTAGCAGGCCAATGCTCAAACTACTGAGCTATCCCTCCCCTGAGGAGAAAGTAGTCCCATTTAAATCAACATAAATAAAGCACACCTTGTGAGTAAGGTTGAGAGAATTGGGTCTATAGAGACTTAATGGTTTTCTGTGAAAATACTGAAAAATTATGTTGGATAATGAGGAATTGGATATGCAGGGTATTTGGGGCCAAACTTCTGATACACATGCAGGTGCATGACAGCCAAAAGCAACATGGATGTGCAGTCACACCACAGACCCAGTGTAGTGTGACTATTCCCCTGTAAAGAGATGTCCAAAGTAGGTATTTTCCATTGGAAAATGTAGTTAAAACAAAAAAAAATTCTAGTGTAAAATTTTAAAGATTTTATTTTTTCCAAAATATCACGTAATCAGAATATTTTACTTCATGTTGAAGTGCTTATTTGAACTGAGCTGTTTCTAGTTGGGGAGTTGATTGAAATAGAAACACATCTATTTGAAATTAACTATCAACTTAAAATGTCATTTTAAAGTGAAATGTCAATTCAGAATGTTTCATTTCCAATTGAGATTTTGTTTAGATATTTAATTTCACAATGTCAAAGCATTTAATTTGAACACTTGGAAGCCGATTTTTTGGACTGTATAATTCTACCAAAAAATCATCTTGGTTGTTCCTGAAGCAGGACAAAAACAAATACTGGAAATTCCTGAAGAATGCAAATTGTTTCCTTCTGAAAAGATTTTCATTTCCCTCAATCTGCAAAGCTAGCCCCCTTTAGTACCATAAACTCAATTTTTCAGAACTTAGAGGGCAAGGGAGGGTTATAAAGCTATAAAATGACTAAGCTATGTATAAAGTGATAGCAATTGTAATGTCTAATACCTGGGACCTACCAGGGCTAGAAGTAAGAACTATTAGAAAGCTACTCTGAAACTCACTTTTTCAGGACTGAACATTGTCTGTTCTGGATCTTTGTAATTTTGGAGGGAAAATCCATAAATGAGGAGAGGAAAGGAGGAAACATTTTTATGGTAGATTGATTTAAGGGGAAAGATAGTGGCTGTATGAAGCTTCTTAGTTGTTGTGCTGATCTTATCAATTTTCGGTGGCACTGAAAGAAATTACTTAAATGTTTGTCAAAGGTTGAAGCGTATATAATAGACATGTTCATCCTCCTCACCCCCACTCAGGATGTAAAATCCTGTTTAATCAGTTAACTGGTTAAAAGTTATGTTTAACCAGTTAGCCCACTTAAATGTGGGTGGGTAGGGGGTTGGAGTGCCTCCTCTCTGCAACATGGCAAGGTGGGCCCAGCCCCCTGCTATGGGCAGGGGTTACTCTGGCCAGGCTGGAGTGCTCCAGCCCAGCTGGGTTGCTGCTTAACTATAACTGGCCAGCATCACCTGGTAAGGATGATGCTTACTGGTTAACCAGTTAACCATTCACATCTCTAAACCCCCACATTATTATACAAAGGAATTGATAAATAAGGAAGAAAGATACATTCAGGCACATGTTTCCATGTATTCCTCCTATCACAGACTCTTGCCATCTTTCCCAGTAACTTCTATCCTTTGTTTCAAATTGGTCCATCTACCAGCTCTTCCTGTTCTTTTTCTGTGCTTTCACTACTTCTGGTTATTTCTGAATATTATTGTTTTACTGTGCCATGAAAATAAATCCTACTCTTCTGCCTATCATCCTTCAGTTTCAACTCTCTCATTCTGAGTTCAGATCAATTCCCCTCCATCAGTATCCCTGTCATCAAATTAATTCAGTCTGCTATCACTAAATCATTCCTTGTTCTTGAATATAGTTGAACTGTTTTGGCTGAAATTTCCCAAAAAACTCTGCATGAAGCTGACATTCTGAATGGAAAATTTCTGCCCAAGTAGTTCTCATTTGGCAAAAATATGAGTAATTGAAAACAAGGGTAAAGTAATGGAATATGTCACGCAATCTTAATAGATGGTGTTACCTGCCCTGCCTATAATCAACAATCTAGTATGTAAAAATCAGGGTGTCCTTTAATAAATCACAGTCTTAGTTTACAGAGAGGATGGGGACTAATTTACAGTTCCTTAGCATTAATCAGAGATGAAATTACATGGAATTTAGAATGTGAAGTTGAATTATAATCCGGTATCTTAGAAAATAGTAATTTAATAGCCCCATTGTTCTGCTTTTATTGATCTGCTTCATTATTGAGTTTGTTTGGGTTTTTTTTCAAGACAAAGCCTAATTTCTTTCAGTGCTACCTTTTATAGAATGCCAAACATTTGTGCTTTGTGGGTAGTGTATGGTGTGTAACACCAGATATTCTAGTGGTTTCAGATGAGAGGTTTTATAAAGCTCTTTCTGAGTCCCTAAACAGATTGTCTCAGGTGGGATGGAGATGTGACTGCGAGCAGTTATGGTTCATGGAATCTCTATTGGAAACACATGGGAACAATAGGCAGTCCCTGCAGAGATCTTGTCATGCTACTGTCTGTGACCTTGCATCAGTTTTTATTTCTTTGTGCTACCTTTTTCTTAGAACTTGAGTGATCTTCTGTAAATTGAAAATAACGTTAGAAGTATTAATACTGTGGATGTAAGAAAAAGAAGGTGACAGTAATGAATTGCTCTTTTGAAAATGACAGGTGAAGGGCAGGAAATATATAAGTAGTAATCATAATAGAAAAATGTGCTTCACAGGAATCCTCAAAGAAGAATAGACCATTGATTCAGTCTCTAAGTGTAGAACATTTCAAATATTTAAAACTATCTTCAATATACTTAATTCTAATAATGTAACAGGGAAATGATCTATTGTCTCCAGCTGAGGATCATTTTCTGCCCTGAAGCATTTGGAATGATTGCTCTACTGATTTTATTGTAGCTAGTATAACTGCAGATGTTAATCATATAAATACCACTGCACCAAGTGCTTTGCAGGGACTTTTCTTCTAAGATTTTGGGAACCAGAGCAATGTGCTTCTCAAGATCTTAGGTGTGGGGCACCTTACTCCTGGATTCCCCCAGATTCATGGGGTTGGAAAGCTTTGTGTTCCCATTAGAAGGAATAATGTTGAAAGTGCATGCAAGTTTTAGTCCCTTGTTCAGTTTGTCCACCAGAAAGAGAGGATCTTACTTTGTAAATATTTAGGATGGAATGTATTTGTTAACTTGTTTGTGTAAATATGATGAGTGCTAATAATGTAGATGCAAAAGAAACCATCAACCTAATTATAATCAAGGAACATTGAGGTAACTCATTTGCAGTTATGTTTGTTTACTCCTAATTATTAGCCCCATGTCTTGCTGTGAATAGTTCATTGGACTTGTGAGTCTTTAACTGTCATGACCTGGTCTAGAAATATGGACTTCAGTTTTCCTGTGGTGCTCTGCAGGATGAAATTATGTAAAATATGAAAAACTACGGAAAAGAGAATTTTAACAGTTGCACTGAACAGTCACACTTGTAGGAAGCTCAGTATCAGTGTTTGAGTGGAGTGCTCATTCAGGAGCTAAAGTTTAAATGTACTAGAAGTACATTTCCTTTATGATTTGTGAAGGGGTGTCTGCTACTGTTGTGATAAAGTGATCCTCAGTAGGGGTGTTAAATTTAAGTTATTTTAGTAATTGAGTAGTTGATAGAACTTTTTGGATTACTTGCTAGGGGAAGGCAGCCCTGCTCAGTCCCAGCTTGAGCTGGGACCAAACCCCACTGCGGCTCTGCAATTTAAAAGGCAGTAGGAGTCAAGCAGCTGGCCCTCCGGCTCCTACTGCATTTTAAATTGCAGAGCGGCAGCAGGGTTTGGTCCCTGACCCAGTACGAGCAGGGACTGAGCTGCCTGCTGACTGTGCTGCCTCCCCAGCTGGCTCCTAAAATTAGTAGGAGCCAAGTGGGCAGGCAGTCCATCTCAGTCCCTGCTTGCGCTGGGTCGAGCACTAAATCTTCAGCTTTGGAATTTAAAACTCAGTAGGAGCTGGCGGTGGGAGTGGGCGGGAGGGGAAGGCTGCCAGCTTCTACTATGTTTTAAATTGCAGAGCCACAGCAGGGTTTGGTCCTGGTGTAAGCTGGGACTGAGTGGGGCTGCCTGCTCAGCTAATAGTAGTCCCTGCCGCAGGGGGTCACAGCGGCTGCTTTACGGCAGGAGCCCCTGTCCACAGAATGTCCCAGCGGGAAGATGGGAACCCCCCACCAACAGGGGCTGCTTCATGGGCATCAGTCCCTGTCCTTGGGTGGGGGGGGGTCTCAATTTCCCGCAGGGACCCCTTCTGGCTAGGGCTGCTGTTTGAGTAGCCTCTTCTGCCTTCCTCCCACTGCTCCCTTGTTCACTTTCAGTCCTTTGGGTACGATGTCCATTTTCTTGCACTTGGATAGAAAGATGATGTCTGTCTGTATCTGTGCGAGTTTCTTCATATGGTTGATGGATTTCCATTCCAAACGGCTAAATGTAGTGCCTTGCATGTAGAATAGTGATAGAAATGTAGCCGTGTTAGTCTGGGGTAGTTGAAGCAAAATGCAGGACAATGTAGCACTTTAAAGACTAACAAGATGGTTTATTAGATGATGAGCTTTCGTGGGCCAGACCCACTTCCTCAGATCAAATAGTGGAAGAAAGTAGTCACAACCATATATACCAAAGGATACAATTTAAAAAAATGAACAAATATGAAAAGGACAAATCACATTGCAGAACAGAAGG